AGTTCTATCGAGTGATGTGCCCAAAATCTTCAAATTAACCCATACACATGCATCGAGTCAATGGCTACGCGAATTGTACGGTGAACAAAAAGGTGAAGAAAGATGCTTTAAAAATTTCTGTACAATTAGTGGAAACATGCCTATCTGCAGAGAAATAAAATTACTTTTCATTTCTTCAAGTCCGTTCATGACTCTTCCCAACCTACTCAACTACAATATTTTTGATTAATTTATCCTGAACAAGTTGTAGCTGAGTTGATTCGAGCCATTGAGGGCAGAATTCAACAAGTCGAGTCTGGGCTGTTGACTCGAGTCGTGTGTTTTTTTCATGTTCAACTGGAGTCGCAGAAAATTGGGACTCTAGTGCGAGTCAATGACTTGACTAGTTACAGCATTGCCTTAGTCATGAACATGCGGGAAAAGATTTTAAATATTGCTCTGACTAAACAAACAGGTATTTCGACGATGTATATGCCCAATCTAAATTTTACAGTATATACTTACTTCACTATATACTTGCCAGGCACTGTTTCAGAACAGTGTCTGTGTTCCATTACACATCTTTCCAGAATGGATTCGCAAGTGTGTCAGAACAGAAAATGGAGCCTTGTTACAGTGCAAGCCATGTAAACCGAGGAATGGTTGTGTTTAGAAAATGAATGTTAAAAGAAGTGGTAGTAAACACATTCCTGAACCGTTCTGAAAAGATTGCTTAATGTGCTCCTCGTTTGTCACACAATAATTGTACAACAGAATTTAATGCATTGTCTATTTATTTACGAACCCAAACAACTTTAAACTTTGACTTTTACAAGCGAGCCATGTCGCAGCTTTTCAGAAGACCTCTCTCCAAAACACTTCCAAGCGACTGCAAAGCTAGCCTTACAAAGTCACTACAGTCATATTATGTACGTCTCTACAAGCCCTATGCAAGTCTCGACTAGCATTGACACTATATTAACCAGCCATTCATTACAAATCATAGCATGCAACTCACTACATACTCATGCAAATCATGCCCTACAAGATTTACTACAATTTCTTAAAATACGTTCACTACAAGCATAATTTTGGAAGTGATGCACTACAAGTAATTATAGTAATAAAGATTCTTATGCTTGTAAATGACATGGCGATATCTAGTTAGCTTAATTTAAAACTAATACTAATTTAATTACTTTTAATGGCGTTATATAATGGGAAATATAAGAACCGTTGGTTTTCATCAGGAGGATTTGGCTGGTGAGTACAGTGTCACTAGTTTAAAAATCCACGATCAGCATTATGTACCGTAATTGCTTCAAAGGGTGGGGAGAGGCGTTTATCAGATAAGTAGTACCTATTTGAGAGGAGCGATTACTTTAACATAGTTCTATATAGGGTAGCCATATTTCTTGAATAACACTTTCTAACGTTCGCAGAGTGAATAGAAACAGGGCTGTCCGCAAAGAGGCTAAAGCATGGGGGAGGTGGTAGTATTGGATTTGACGACACCATTTCAGCCGCAAATTAATAATTTTCTCTTCCAAAGATTGTTGGCGAGCATGGGAAGGAGAGGGAATACAAAACATTTGTTACTATAACTATATATTACTTTTCATCAGTGTCGCTCAGATATTTCAGTTCTTGTCTCTCCTATCCAATTCGTGTTTTTGGCGACTTGGAAAACGATTTGGCGAAAAGATTTTTACGGGTTATCACACAGTGTCACCCACAACCCGCTAGCGACGACCCTGAATACAACACTTGTTTATTTATTAACAAATGTTTATTTGAATGAAATAGCGTGCGAAAGTGGTTTTTAGAAACAAGCCTGCTGCGCTCGAAAACTTGCTTTTTAGCGTAATTTTGCGATAGAGATACCAAAAGACCCCAAAATGTCCACACTATATATCACAAAGTTGTCAAAAATTTGCGGTATATCCAGTTTAGTGGACATTTTCGAACCGTGTAAATTTTTATTGCAAAACCAAACTATTGCAAAATTCCGGTAACCCTGTGCATCTAATAGATACGGGTGCTTAAATTGAGGGTGGACTTTATTAGATCATTTATTTATGAATTCTTGTTTTATGCTGATACCCACATGTACTGTTTCGCTGATGCATGGTTCGTGTGTTTGTTTCATTAGTTTGAGGAAGGTTATACCATGCAGGTTAGAGTCAGAAAATCATGCTTCTTTTCTTAATGACATTTTTTGAAGCTCACCAGTTAACTGACCACCAGCTAACCATCCATTGAAAACAACCTCACGGTTCAAAGTACGTAAAACTTATATCTTATAGCCAGAGCCAAAGGGTGTGTTTGATACGACAAAAGTTCAGACCAGACAAGCAAGGTCTGATCAAAAACTTGGTCATCTTGGCATCTGATGAAAAACACCGAAAGATGATTCACGCATCCCTAATTATTAAAGATTATTATTGTTGTCATAATGGAAGTTAAATAGACGATTTTGATGGACTTAGATTGTCAATTCTTGTTTTTATTGGTTTCCAACCTATCTTAATAATTGGAGCTAAAAGCACGCAAACCAAAGGCGAAGTATTTCGTGCACAATAAACCAAGAATGATGGTATAATTGTACATGCGATATTTTATTTGTTTGTCGATTTATCTGGATAACACAATATAAAGGCAGCACGAGAATCAAACACACCCCAACTTGCATTGTTTATGGTTGAACAGAACAACTGTTCTCCCTATACTTCCTATGTTGAATGGGGATTAAATTTCACTTAAATATATAGTGATTACAATTATATTACGCTAAATGCATTTCTAACGTCGGACTATAGGTGGTGTTTTGTGAGTTATATATAAAGATAGCCCACACAGTAATAATTTGTCCTGTTCTGTATTCGACTTTGTCGGCCGAATGATAAACGATGTTACGAAAACAACTCATCAAGCGGAAATATCACAGTATAGAGGTACACGTTGTTCGTTCTTTTTTGATGGCTTACTTTTTGAGTAGGTCGTGCATGTGCAAGGAATATAACTTCTTTTCTATGACCTTGCTATCATATATTATGTATATTGTAGTTACAGCCATTTTCGTCCAAGCACAAACCGCAAACATTTTCGCGCGTTTGTTTACGTTTGAAACGGGGCGTTTACCGTTGGAAACTGAAATGTTTCACCGCTCATGTGACGTGTCACATTGAAAAGCCTTAA